GCCTGTGGTACCTCAACGACCAGGAATGTACTTGTGACTCTGAGTTGCAGGTCTCACAATGACCAGTGCAAGCCACCTACTATAAGGTGACCCCCCCTGAAGGGGGGGGGGGAGTCTACAAGCAGTATTATAAGTACATAAACTAAAACAATTTTTTTTTTTTTTTTTTTTTTTTTTTATAATAATATTCTACCACAATCACACAACGCCATCTAGTCCCAAACTAAGCAAAGCTTGTACTATGGGTACTAGACAACTAATATAAATACATATATACTTTTTTTTTTGTAAATACATACATATTATACATAGAAACACCCAGACCAAATCAAACATTAAATGTTCATGCACACAAATGCTTGACTTGAGCGGGAATCGAACCCGCGACCTTTGGAATAGCAGTCCGTTACACAAACCACTACGCCATTCGGTCGTCTTTGAATTGAATTTAATTTATTATCAATGATGCCACAGCTGGCTAAATGTCACAGGTTACCAATGCCTACAAATATTTACACCACCTGTAGTGTACCACTAAATCCCAGCCCAATATCTTTACTACCTCTACTTATAGACCTATATCTCTTTGTAGACTATTTTGCCAGCTAGGCATCTGTATTATGTGTAAAAATCTGCTTAACCCCTGTAACCTGTCTATTTTAAATTTGGAATGTCAATAGTTTTTTTAAATTCAGTATCTTTTTATCAATAAAGTTGACTATTGACTATGGAAGCAAATAGGCATATATTAATGTAGATGATTATATAACATCCTGAGATGTGTCATAGATACTTAAGTGTGTTGGTTATCTTTTCTCATCTCTTGAACTTGATATGCTATCACAGGATCAGTCATCTTGATGATATTAAATGTAGATATACAAAATAAGTTTAAAACTGAAGATGATTACACAAAATTGAAATATTTTTATCTATTTGCTAAATTTATTTGTGTATATCAAAAATTACTAATAGTTAGATATTTTTAAAAGGGCTGGCCTAAAAAAATTTTTTGGTGGTAAACAAAACCACGCACAAAACTTTTTGCAAAACCTTCAAAGTAACATCACCAACTCACAAAACTAGACCTCGAAATTGGTAGCTCTCTTAAAAAGAACAATAGGGCATTAAAAGAAAAATAAACCATATCAATCTAGAATATGAGGAAGATTTATAATAAAGGTAAAGATTTGGTAAAAGGTATACCTGTTTACTTACAGCCTGACTAGTTTTGGACCAGACAGGGACCTAAGGGACTCAAGAGTAAAATTATATCCTATTCATACACTCAAAAGGTACCAATGCACTTGTATCTATTCAGTTGTAGGTGTCCATGGGCGGCAGAAGTCATCATCAGGGCCTCAATTCTGCTATTTAAATATTGTATCAATGGACTGTCGATGGACTGTCTTGAGAATAGTTTTGCACTTTTTGTATTCTTCTAACTATGTAAGACCAATGGCCTCAAGATGACTTGTCAGTTAACTGCCACTGATACAAATGGCGGCATTGTCTTTCTAATAGTTTGGTAAACGGTACATTTAAATTTGTAAGTAAATAATGGATTTGATTTGCCAGAAATGGCCATGTAGTTAATATCACTAATGTAGTAGTTAATGACACTACATCAACATTCTGTTGACTCTGTAAATTTATGTTAGTAGAATGCCAATATAATGGCATCTCAAAAGCGTGACAATGGAATGTTTGAACGTTAACATAAAATAGCAGAATCAAGGCCCAGGTGACCTGTCTCCGCTAAGACCCCTATACTATATAATCTATGAATATCATTTACGAAAGTTTATAAAAAGTAGTTTCGTAAATATTTCGGTAAAATAAATGTAAAAATAGTTGTCTAGAAATTACCTATTTTTTATCCATAATGAACTGCCAGCTCCGCCGGTACTTGGGAGATCACCACATAAACAATGACCGACAATACGGTTTCGTCGGGGTCGCTCAGCTGGTGATCTTACGGTTAGCTGGTTAGCTTCGACGTAGCGAAGACCTTCGATCGGTCTCTCTCGAAGCTCCCTTCCTATGAGCTTTCCGAGAAATTGTGTAACTGGGTTACCTGTTTTCTTGCAGACAGAAGCAAAGGTCGTTATCGAGGGCGCATGCTTCGACTTCAAGTCTATAAATGCTACCCAACATTTCTCGAGAAAACGTCATCGAGAGCTGAAACAAACTTGTCTGAAATTGAAACTTCCTTAGCATAAGTTTGAGATTAGTACCGCAGGCCGCGCGTTTAGAGCAAAAAAAATACCGTTTGTAGTATCACCTTGATTTGATCCGCGGTCTCTTAGAGGGTAACACTAAATTAGCCTCGAAGAAGCTTGGTGTGCTTAACAGATCGAGGCAGTATTTCACTTCGGCCCACCGCCCGCAACTCATTTGGAATACTGCTATCATCTCTATGCAGGTAATCCACCCACTCCAGTACCAAGTTCTCTCTCTGGACCGTATCCAACGGAGAGCGACTCGAATCGTCTATAGCCAAAGGATCTCTGATCGGCCTGACCCGTTGGCGTTTCGTAGAGATGTAGAACTTCACTCTACACTCTATCGTATGTATCACGGAGAGTGCTCTGAGGAACCTCTGCACTAATACCGACCGCAACTTCCTGCCATCAATCCACGCAACAAAACTATCATCCCCATCAGTTGTATAATTGGTAGTCTACCACTGTGCAGTTTTCAAGAGACTTTTTGGCTCGCACATTTAATGTATAGAACAAATTATCGCCTGCGGTATTTCCAGACTTCGACGACGGACGAGCTTTAAACCTTATGGAAAAGAGCGCACTCCTACATGAAAGGCCGGTAACGCGCTTGTGACTTGTTAGTTGCAGGTGTTCATGGACGGCGGTAGTCACTTTCCATCAGGTGACCCGTCTACTCATTAGACCGATTCCGTCAATTATCTAAATCTTTTTGCAAAGTTACATTACTTTGCATAAAGATTTTGCTAATTTCTTCTTGTTCCCAATCTGTGACTGAAGTCAATCATAATTGGGATCAGCACAATAGGACAAGGACCTTTACGTTAAATCAATATAGCTTTTTAATAAAGGTCAAAACCATAGCACGAAAGAACGCTGTACATTTTTGTATGAAATACTATGGCGTGACGTCATACCTTTCTATAGTCAAATCATTTGTATTTAATGTTGATTTGAAGGTATAAACAATAGAAACATTAAAATGATAATGGAGGACAATTTTGTCTTTACTTTACATTTAGTGATTTAGGCGAAATAATTTATATAAAACCACAGAACATTATAATGATGATATTGAGTTGCGCGCGTTGAAGCCGGTGATACTTTTCATTATCCTCAATAGCCCTTAATAGTCCACTGCTGGACAAAGGCGTCTCCTTAGAAAGGAGGTTTTTGGCCTACTATATTTACTCGTATATACCACGCTAGTCAGACGTGTTAGTATAGGGTTTGTTTCAAGTTTTCCTTTTCTTTCCAGTGCTGTTATCCTAGTAGTTTGCTCCGTTAGTCGGCTCTTACTAGGGGATAAATAGGGATAGTGATACTCTGTATTCCTAATCCGTCACCATACCGACATGGTTATTTTTGTTAGAAGGTAATTGTGTTTTAATATGATTTAAACGATCGTACGGATCGTCCTCCGCCTGCTAGTAAATTTATGACCAATATAATTGATAAATCTATACAAATAAATAAAATTGAAGTGTCTGTTAGTAAAGTCAATGTTCTCATGTCTCACACTGTTATTTGCACGACACCTATGCCTAAAAACCAATTTAAATATTTTTTTGTCTGTCTGCCAGTTTGTTCCGGGTAACCTTCAAAACGGCTGGACTGATGTTGATAATATTTTACTACCTAGTAGCTGTCTATATAAGGAGTAACTTAGACTATTTTTTCTCTCAGAAAAACCTATAAAATTTTGCCCGATCCGAGAATTGAACTCAGTGCGTTGCAAATGCCACGCGAACGAAATCGCGGGCACCAGCTAGTGTTTTAATATGATTTAAACGATCCCACGGCTCGTCCTCCTCCTGCTAGTAAATTCATGACCAATATAATTGATAATTACCAATAAGGAAATAAGGTTAATAGTGTTAAAGTGACCTGGAGTGCGGTATGAGTAAGTTCATGAATCACTGCTATAAGCAATTGAAGGAATACATTATCATTATTCTGAAATAGACTTCTTAGAAATTTGCATTCATTTCGTATGATAACTGAGTAACCATTTCTATCAACTTAATTAATATCTACCCATTTTTCATCATTTAGAATTAAGATATTTATTTTCTTATGAAATAGGACGAAAATGAGCTGTCGGGTTAGCTAATGGTAAGTGATTAGCGCCGCTTATGAGCCAAAGTCACATGTGCGTTGTCGGCCTCTGAGTGTCTTTGGTATTAGTGTATCAGTCCGCGCTTCTAATGTTTTTATGCTCGAGTGCAATCCCGTTAAAGTCGCGAGATCTCGCCCTTTTTTCGTCCGAGATCAATCTCGCTAAAAAAGGCCGAGATCTCGCGAGAACGAGATTGCACACGAGATATCTATCTATATCCGACGACCGAATAGCGTAGTAGTTTGTGTAACGGACAGCTATTCCAAAGATCGCGGGTTCGATTCCCGCTCAAGTCAAACATTTGTGTGCATGAACATTTAATGTTTGATTTGGTCTGGGTGTTTCTATATATAATAATTATGTAAGTATTTACAAAAATATGTATAAATGTATTTATATCAGTTGTCTAGTACCGATAGTACAAGCTCTGCTTAGTTTGGGACTAGATGGCGTTGTGTGAATGTGGTACAATATTATTATATTATTTTTATACCTACACCTACACCTATCTAACACCACGCGCGCTCTGCCGGCTTCCTGTTACACACAAAATTACTCACGCAGATTGTAGGAAAGCGAGAGGAAGGTGACACACATCAATACTGTAGCATGTGCACGAAAAGGCTTAAATTTTCTCCTTTTTCAGATGAACAACGATGGCGTACCCCAGCCATCCTCCGCCTGCACCACCCCAAACCATGGGGTCTACGAACACCGTGTTCAACAAGGAAACGCGGTTCGACCTTTCATACATCACCACGTTACCCGGGGTCATTAAGATTGTTGTTCTAGTAAGTTCATGTTTTATTCGTCAAAGGACATCATTCAAAATGTACCCAAAAAAAAAACTGTGTCATCTTACGGAAAATTATCTTTTAAACAATTTTTATTATTACAACAAACGTCTACGACCAACTTTTAGACCCAAAATGGATCTCCGAAAATCATAAAATGAGCATTTACATTTACGTATCTATCAATTAACTACGAACAATAATAATATAATATGACAAAAAGCCTAATTATATACAATCATCATTAGGTACCTAAGTACCTACGTAGGTATTTATGTGTAGGTATTAGTGTTATAAAATAACTAATAGTATAAAATAATTAGGCTTTTTGTCATATTATATTATTACTAGCTGACCCAGCAAATGTTGTATTGCAAAACAAAAAAAAAATAGGGATGGGTCACCCTTACCATTTAGGGGTATGAAAAATAGATGTTGGCCGATTCTCAGACCTACCCGATGTGCACACAAAATTTCATGAGAATCGGTCAAGCCGTTTCGGAGGTGTACGGGAACGAACATTGTGACACGAGAATTTTATATATAAGATAAAGCGAGGTTAAGTTATTCTTTTTATTATTAGATTTTTGCTATAGTAATGAAGTAAAAATTGTTCAGACGAACTCGTATAAATGCATTTTTTTATTATTTCTAAGTCATATAACTCATAAGTAATCGGTCTTAGCTCTTAGCCGTCTAAAGAAAAAAATCTTAGAATGTCATTCTCCAACCGATAAAACCATTTGTTTTCGTTGGCCGGCACTTTTTTTTTGGGTACTTTTTGTATGGAGCGTGAATGAAGTCCTTTATTTATTTGCAAGAATGTAGTCGGACAAAGTATTATCAAAAAAACTTTAGTGAGAAGCATTCATATCATATATTATATATATCATTGTATATATAATATATATGTATTTGTACGTATGTATAATTATATAATGTATATTTATTTATGTTTACACTACGTTAGCTTCAATACACCTAGACTACCCACTGTTTCTTCTTATCTACTGTCGATTTGTCAATCCAAATGTTGCCTGTAAGAGATTGCTATTAGCAATAAGGCCGCTCATTGTACATATCCATCTGTAATATTTAACCAACTTACTGTAATTGGTGTACAATAAAGCATATTCTATTCTATTCATATTTATTAAAGACTAGCTGACCCGCGCAACTTCGTCTGAGTCTCTCAATAGTAATAAATTTTCTCCGTTTTTTGAAACATTATTCATTGATGCTCCGCTCCTATTGGTCTTAGCGTGATGATATATAGCCTATAGCCTTCCTCGATAAATGGGCTATCTAACACTGAAAGAATTTTTCAAATCGGACCAGTAGTTCCTGAGATTAGCGCGTTCAAACAAACAAACAAACAAACTCTTCAGCTTTATAATATTAGTATAGACTAGCTTTTGCCGGTGGCTCCGCCCGCGTGTATCTTGATTATCGCGGTAAATAATAACCTATGTCCTTCCTCAAGAATCAATCTTATCTGAATACCAAATTTCATTGAAATCGGTTCAGCGGTTATTGATTTCCCATACAAACTTCCACCCCTCCTTTTCATCCCCTTAAAGGATGATTGCTGGGATAAAAATATGTATGTCCGTTCCTCGTTATCTAAATCGGTTCAACGGTTTAAGCCTTATGAGGTAACAGACAGACAGACACACTTTCGCAACTGCATTTCGGCGGTGCTTTTTAAGTAGTGAAACGTCCTACCGCGATGGTGTCAAGGGTCATACACAGAGACTCACAATAGGGTACGAAGCTAGCACCAGGGACTTCCTTTCTACGGTATACCTGGTTCCCCGGCTATTAGTACCCGAGACGGCGTGCGGTTTTAGTCGGTTCGAGTCCGACATGCCAGCGACAGGTGGTATCCGAGGGGATTTCCGCACGGAAAAAAAAAAAAAAAAGGGTACGAAGCGGTTCTCCCCCAAAAAAACACACGTGAGCAAAACCATTCATCTGTAATATATACAATTGATTATATTTTAATGTGGTGATGAGTCTTTTTGATTACGTTGGACATGTATTATCCGCAGCCATATTGTTGATACTATTGTACGGCTTCGTAAGTTGTTAAGTGAATTAACTACCACTCAATTACTCATCACTGTCGTCATTAGACTAATCGTAAAGTGATACTATTAAGTAGATACTCAATGAATCGGGTTTTTTGAAATGATAACTTCTTATGGGAGGGTAAACCGCTTCGTTACGTAACGCGTTACGGCGCTAGTCTGTCTTGCTTCCCTTTCTGTCACGCATACGGCAGCGGTAAGCAGGCTCCTCCTCTCTCTAACCCGGAGAGACGCTTTACATAAAATTTAAGTAACAACCTAATCTTGTCTCAAGTTAAACAACTTCAATATTAAATAGTTCAACTTAGATTAGTTTAAGGTATCACTTCTGTCGGGCGTCCCGAGACACACTTTTTTTGTTTTATTAATAAAAGATTCCTGGTCGTAAATTTTTGATTTTGGCAATATTTAATTTGTGTTTTTTTATACAATAGTATGAGCTATCATTGGCTAGAATGGATAGGTATTTAAAACGTCGAGGGGTATAGGTATATCGACTATTTTTCGATTCCGAGTATTCAGAGATCCACTTCCGAAATTTTCGTTAGACTCAGACATCCACTACAACTTAAACTGTTGCTTAAAGCTTGAAGAATCTGAAAACATATTTATTTATTTTATTTATTTATTTAACTTTATGCACTATTGTACATCGGTGGACTTAATGCCCAGGGCATTCTCTTCCAGTCAACCATGGTTGTAGATCATACTTATAATGGATTTCGAGGAACAAATATTACGTTTAAAGTAGCTTTGTTTCTTCAAGAGTAAAATTTCTTACAAAATACGAAATTATAAGAAAACATTACTTAAATGAAGTTGTTACTTATTTAAAACCCGTGACTTGACACAATTTCTTTTTGAAATCTTCTTTGGGGGAAAATTACTGCAAAACACTTGCATATGTCTGGTTTTTTACGGGTTACACACCGATGTACGCGTTGAGTCCAGATTTGTACATCGGATAGAAAATAAATCCTTCATAGAATCTGGAATCGTAGAATATCGCAAATTTTCGAATAAAATTACATAGGGACTGGACATTAGGAAAAAAAACCGTAATCTGGTTCAATGTCGTGGCGATGATATTAATTACAAGGAAAAACTTATCACACCGCTTGAAAGAGGAAGGACCGTGGTAACTAAAAATAATTACAATACCTTGTTTGTATCAAGGAGTACCTACCTACCTCTTTTAATAATTAAAATATTTTTTAATAATTAGTACTTATAATTTATATACCACGATCCCGTGGTTTCCTACATTTTGCAAGATCGGTGAAAAGGATTTGAAGGCTCAAACACCTCTAGGTAATTCCTGGGGAATAATTCAGCTATTTGGAAGAGCAATGTATAGGAAAAAACGCAAAACAAAAACACCTTACGCTATTTTTACACGCTTTATATTAGCTTCACTTGTATGTTTGTTTGTATGTTTGTAACCGACTCCTTTGGGCACGCCCAAAGGAGTCGGTTACTATTATTGTTACTATTATTGGTATTTTGACTGACTTTAAACGGTCAGAAATCGTTCAAACTTTGTAGATATATCGAGGACCGATGACAATACGCTAATTTAAAAAAATATTAAAAAAAATAGTTTAAAAAAACTAAAAAACACGCTTCTATAGAAAACGAAACTAAAAAATAGAAAATAAATTTTAATAAATTTGAAAAAAAGCGTTTGGTGCCTGTTGTCAATAGCAAAAAGTACCCCACGCTTTTTTTCAAATTTTTAAAAATTTATTTTCTATTTTTAATAACTTCTAATTACGTTTCGGCTGAAAATTTAACCTCAGTTGAATATCAATCACTTTAAATTTTTATGAACCTGTTCACAACTCAAGAGCACTGACAATTGATAGCATTTGGTTCTAATTCTATTGTTCGAAAACTATCTAAACTAAACTAAAAATCACTAAAAGTTAGTTTGGTCCTGTCAAGTATTACGTTTTAGGTTTGAGATATGTTTATTTCTCATAAGAATTTAGAAATAATAATTCATTTACATTAGAAAGTTTAAACACATACACAACAAATAATAGTCTCATTGGCGTACACTGAAATATCGTATTAATTACACTCAACCCATTCAATCACAGTATTATAATAAAATTAAGCTATTTTACACGCTTTATATTAACTTCATTTCATTTTTTTTTTCATTTATTTAATTAATTTTGTGATTCTTCTTCACTTGTATGTTTGTATGTTTGTTTGTAACTGACTCCTTTGGGCGTGATTATGACTGACTTTAAACGGTCAGAATTCGTTCAAACTTTGTAGATATATCGAGGACCGATGATAATACACTAATTAAAAGCGTGTTTTTTAGTTTTTTTTTAAATATTATTTTTTAGTAACAAGATACACAAAATACAATATACAGGGTACTTGTAAAAAAACTTTTCCGTTTTCAGAATAGTTTGTTTAGAAATGTAGAATTGTTTGACAGGACTAAATTAATTAAAACTAAAAACTAATTTTAAGTTTAGTTTAGAGAGTTTTCATACAACAGAACTAGCACCAATGGCTTATGAAATCAATTTTCTATGACTTTCGATACCTAATCAACAGAATCTTATAAATGTTAACACGTAGTATCTTATTAATATGTAGACTGTAGATGTAGCCACACTTCGTTTTGCCATATTGTGGATGCATTGATGAGGATCGAGGAACAAAACTGATACGTAAAATAGATAAAACATCTTTAAAGCGGTAAAAATCGTGTCAAAATTTGAGCTCAATCGGTGCAGAACTATTAGGGTTTATTGCGTACTTCAAAAGGTAAAAAAGGAACCCTTATAAGATCACTTTCTTGTCCGTCTGTCCGTGTTACACCACCGATTTTCTCAGGAACGGGTAGACCTAGCAAGTTGAAATTTATACCAGATACTGAGGTCTATGATCCCTATTAGGTGTATAAAAATCAAGGTCCTGAGTCAACACGATAAAAAGATATGTGCAAATTTCGATTTTCGCGAAAATCTACGTAAAATCTGGGTAGGTACGGAGCCCTCGGCGCACGAGTTCGACTCGTACCTGACCGGTTTTTTGACTTTTGGAGCGTACAAAAACCAACTTTATATTTATACATACATATATGTGTTCTAAACAGATGTTTCTTCCACAGGTCCTTAACCTAATTGGATTCATCTGCATCCAATGTTCAGCCTTCAGATCAAACGGTCGAGGCGTCTACTTCAGCCTGGTCACGCACGTCGGTTTCTGGTTCTCAGGAATCTTACTTCTGCTGTACTTATTCCACGTGGTAGAGAAGTACCATAATATTAAGTGGTTGAAGATAGAGATGATAGCTTATATCGTGATGGTGTTCTTGTACGTGATAGCGTCTACGATCGTGGTGGCGTTTGGGGCGGCTGCGTATTCAGCAGCTGGGGTGAGTTTACTTAATCACTGATTGGAATAAAAAATATGTTGTGATAAATTAATTTACTTGATTCCGTGGACAATTAATGTTTTTATTTTTAAATGCGTTTTATCTGACGGACCTGTTGTCTTGTGGTTAGTGACTCTAATTGCTAAGGCAGAGATTGTGGGTTTGATTCCCACTCAGGACAAATAACTGTGTGAGGAGCACGATTGTTTGTTCTCTGTCTGTCTGTAATTTATTTAAAATAATAGTTCTTTACCGTAAGCGTTTATCTCAGTGGGTGGACCCGTGTACAGCACCTAATCAGTGAGCTAAAAAAAAGATTACCCATAGGACTGTGACTGTGGTGACTGTCTGGTGGACCAGACCGGACTTGTACATTACAGCTTCTAACTGGATGACACTTGTGACGGCAGAAATCTATTGCCAAGAATTGCAAACAATGATGGAGAAGTTCGCGATTCAACATCCACGTCTGGTCAATCGCTCTTCCCCATTGCTTCTCCACGACAACGCGGGAGCTCACACTTCACGACAGACCTTCGCAAATCTACAAGAGTTACAGCTGGAAGCTCTCCGTCACCCACCGTACTCACCGGACCTTGTCCCAACAAATTACTACTTCTTACAAAATATAGACAATTTTAAAGTTAGCAAATATTCAACATCCAAGAGGCAGTACAAAACGCTTTCGCTGATTTCAACGCCTCTCCTCCAGCAGACTTCTAAAGTAAAGGAATAAACAGGAAAACGAATAAATAATTTGGACCAGTAATTTTATTAGCTAAAATAAAAGAATAACCAACATTTTTATATTACACATATTATCATACGAATTTCCACCTTCATAGGTATATATTATAGTTACCTATTTGTGTAGTGTTTAGTGATATATAAGTATGTTTATCAGCAGTCTGGTTACCATAAAACAGGCTATGCCTAGTTTGGGATCAGAGGCCCGTGTGTGCAACGTATGAGATTATTATTATCTTTAATTACAAAAAACCTTAGAGGAGATTAAAGAACTTGGATATCCCGCCAACGGCTAGTCGCTGACCTGCTCGGATCTTCTATGACTTCCATGAGTCAATAATCCATCCGTATATGACAGACAGACAATGTTCTAATAGAATATAGTGTGGTCCAGTGTACATAATGCCTAGTTTACATGCGTGCTGAGGCTTGGCAAAAGTCCACAAGCTCCAAGTTTTTGCAAACGCTTGGATGCCATTTACACGATATAGCAGACGTCGACATATTTTTATTAAAAATATAAACGACGACACTACACTAAAAAAAACCTCTAGCCCTACTGCTCAATCAGTAGAGCACAGAGACTTTATGTTGATTCTCGACTGCTCAACTACAATACTTGTAATATCAAATTGTCAGCTTCCTTGGATCTGTGTTCAAAAACCGACACTATAACCTGGCAATCTCGTGCGCGACCGTCCCGCGGGGTGACAGACAGTGGCGGGGGCGAGGTAGCGCGTCATTCTAGCACACGAAGAGAAGTGTGTCCCTTCCCCGCTGCACCACCCGCTACCCGCTGACATCTTGAGTACCTCGTCCCCGCCACCGTCTGTCACCCCGCAGGACGGTCGCGCACGACGTTGATGGACTATAGTACCGATCGACGACAAGCATACGCGAGCTGAATCAAACACCCCGTTTACGCGCCGTGCGTGTAAACGGCCTATAACACGAGTTTAGTTTCATATGCAAACATATATTTAAACCATATAATTATGCATATTATACGTATAATGTTTTAAAGTAACTAAGAACTCGCCCAGTGCGAGTTGTTCACATTTTTTCTTGACTTTATTTTACTGTAATTTACCGTTATTAAAGCAATTTTACGGTACAAGAGGCACAATAAACATAAACGTGCTGTTTACTTTATGTTTTCTCACAGATAGGTAAAGGGTAAATAATACGCAATGTCTGTGAAACAATGTAATGCTCAAATGGCTGCAGGACGCTAACACATCATGAATATCTACGTACAATTTGATATGCATGTTCTTTGTGTAGTATTCGATGTAAATTTTATCTTCAACTTCGGGATAATTTTTTGCATACATTGACTCGTGCGGAATCCATACTCCATACTAATATTATAATTCTGAAAGTATGTCTGTCTGTCTGTTACTTCTTCGCGAAATTTGATAGAGATAGTCCGAGTCCCGGGCAAGGACATAGGGTAGTTTTTACCCTTTTTTTTCCGTGCGGAAATCCCCAGGGATACCACCTATCGGTGGCATGTCGGACTCGAACCGACTAAAACCGCACGCCGTCTCGGGTACTAATAGCCGGGGAACCAGGTATACCCTAGAAAGGAAGTCCCTGGTGAGGGTAGTTTTTACCCTAGAAATCATCCTTTAAGGGGGTGAAAAGTGGGGTGGAAGCTTGTATGGGGAATTAATAACCACTGAATCGATTTACATGAAATTTCGTATGGAGTAACTTTGATTCTTGAAGAGACATATTCTACCTTTTACCGCGATAACTGACATTTACGCAGGCGGAGCCGCGGGCGATACCTAGTACTAATATAATCTTGATTTTTAAGCGGCGGTAGCCTAGTGGTTAAGGCATTGGACTTGCGATTAAGAGGTCGTGGGTTCAAATCTTAACCAGTACACTACCGACGTGAACACACTCCCAACACAAGCAATTTAGCTTAGCTGGAGGGGATAACGGGAATACTAGTAATTTTGGTTGCTAGTGAGCCTTCAAAAAAAAAATTGATTGATGTGTGACAAGATAGTTGTCATGTTCATGTCATGTCATGAAATTGATCTAACTAAATGACTTATTTTCAATTTAACGACGTTTTATTAAGGCTACTTCTCCTCTTTCTCCCCTGTAGAAAAAAAGAGAACGAGACTCGTGTCTCAATACGAGCCTTTTTTTTTAATAATGGGATAAGGAGTTGCACTTCGTACCACCAAAACGAAATCTAGTATTTTTTTTACAATGCTAACAATTCTTCATGGTCTTTTCTATTAGATATCTTATTATATTTACCGACATTTACGCGGGCGGAGCCGCGGGCAATAGCTAGTATTTAATACTCGTGTTTTTTGTTGATTCTATACAAAGAGGTATTAATGAAGTTCCATTTTTTCCGCATTAAGAATATATCCTGTCGCGGGGTACTTTACAAACATACATGAAACGGCACAAAGAACACCCAGACTCAGAACAACAATTTGTGGATCACACAAAGTGTCGTCTCATGTGGGGTTTGAACCCACAACACTCGGCGTAGTAGGAAGCGGAGTGGCGACCGCTTAAAAAATACCTTTTTTATCTTCCTGGTGTTACATCTCCTTCCTCTTCCTCCGAAGATAGGTGGTTGAAACGTCGTGGTTTATACAACGTGGTTTATAACAAACAAAACCCTACCGAAAATTGTTCGACCATGCCTTCCTTAAAACCTTTTCATTCTTATGAGTCGTAATGTTACTTAAGCACTTAAAATTCGATATTGGTTTAATTAAATATCATATCTGGTGACTACAAGTTATCTAGTTCGCTGTTCCATAAAAAAATTGTCTCTTAGACGTTGCTTTTAATGTCTACCGCCGACTGTCCGTGGACACCTTTAGATTCCATAACTGCGTCGCCAGCTTTTAAGTCCTTCCTCCCCCTTCAGAATTAGGGAAAGGGAAGGTTTGCTCACCGGTCAAGCCGATCACTCGATAAAAAACGAAAGAATTGCTGAACAACAGTTTTCAGTCAAGCCATGGTATCACTTCGGGAGTATCCCACTCTTCCATTTCTTGCCTTCTAATCTATACAGTTAAATAAAATTGAAGTGTCTGTTTGTAATGTCGAAATAATAGGTTTATGCTTATCATAGCTATCGTGCAAATAACTGTTATTTAAGCTATGCCTAAACACCAGTTTAAATATGTTTTGTTTGTTTGTCTGTCTGTCTGTTTGTTCCGGTTAATCTTCAAAACAGCTGAACCGCTTTGATAATATTCTACTACCATGTAGCTGTCTAAATAAGAAGTAACTTAGGCTATTTTTTCTCTTAGAAAAACCCTATAAAATTTTGCCTGGTCCGGGAATCGACTTCACTTAAGCAGCGCTTTTCAAATTCCACTCGAATGAAGACTCGGGCACCAAACTAGTAGAAAATATACAGAACTGCGCATATTTGCTCATAAAATGTAAAACAACTTCTAACAGAACAGAACACAATACAATCGTCCCACTGGCACACTTTATTAGCAATAAAACAGGTATGCATACCTTTGCGCATACGTGATTGGACTATAAAATAACAATATGCACTATTTTTTACGGTTTAGAACAATGTATTGCGATTTAAGAAGCATTTTATCTACCATAAAATAGGGAGTTTTTACGAGTGTGCACATGGCTCATGGTGGAGTGGTGTGTCGAAATCGAACCCACTAAAAATAGGTGTTCCATCACAATGAGTCTATTGCAAGAGACTCGGGTATACCCTAGGAGAATAGTTCTAAAATAGTTAATTCCTAGCTCTTTGATTATGGATCATCATCATCAACAGTCTTTAGTAGTTTAGTTTATTACGCTGTATGCTGTTTGTATTAGTACGCTGGTCAGACGGGTGATTACGGGTGCGTCACTTTAAAATTCGGCAGATTAGCCGAAAAAACAATGAAATTAAAAACCGTATTTTTTTTCCTAGGAAAGGAATGAAGGAAGTAGGCCAAAACCTCCTTTCTAAGGAGAGATTTATGTGCAGCAGTGGACTGTTAAAGGCTGTTGATGATAATGATGAAAGGAATGAAGAATATACTAGTTAGTTTTTAGATAAAATACGTATATAGATCGGGGGCCGTACCGTGCTGTGATGGCGAGCATCCATATGTAGTATATGTAGAAAAGTAAAAAAATTGTTCATATTTTTGGATCAAGTAATTTCTTTCGAAATTGATGCCTCTCTATCGATATCTTCCTTGTTTTAGTAGCTTTTACCTGTATTGTATCGTATTATTTTAAATTAAACGTAACTAATCGTATTAATTTTCAAAAAGTAACCTAATTAGTTATTTACAGGCATCATTCAATAAGTAATGATGACTAATTCATAAAATCATAATAGGTCGTGGGTTCAAATCCTGACCAGTACACTAACGACGTGAACCGACTCCCTAACACAAGCAATTTAGCTTAGCGGGAGGGGTTAACGGGAATACTAGTAATTTCGGTTGCTAGTAGACATTTAAAAAAAAAAACATCTCTTTGGTACTATAGGTTTACTGTAAAGAGCCACATATTTATAAGTATTTTAACCGTATATAACTGTTTGTTGCCAAAATAAAGGGGAAAAAAAAAATTGTCTATGATAGACGAAAAAATAACTATGAAAGAAGTAACAATACTTATGGAGACTTTGGTATCGATACTGTTACGTGTTGTTTTTAAAAGACAACTTCCGCATAACATACATGAAACGTAGACAAAGAACACCCAGATTCAGAACAACAATTTGTGGATCACACGAAGTGTCGTCCCATGTGGCGATCGGGCCCACAACACTCAGCGTAGTAATGAGCGGCGTGGCGACCGCTTAAACCACTACGCCATCCGTGCAGTCAATATGCTATACGTTTTATGCGTTACTACTAATGAATGAGTACCATATCGATACTTTTGATTCCATGCCGTGTCCCTGTTCTAATGTCCACGTCCGACGTGGTTTAAGCAGTGATTGGCGTCTCACTTTTCCACGGTATCATTTGATACAAAATTAAAATACCAATAATAATAAAAAAAATAAAAAATAAAATTAAAATATAAATAATAATAAAATATTTTATAGCTGTTCCAATAGGTGAAGCAAGCACGCTCTCACCGTGACTGGTGCAAATTTTATATGTAACGTTTACTGCTCACGATACAATAATAGTAGATAACTGGCTGAGACCCGCGGTGTTACCCGCGTTTCTTGTTATAACCGCGGGCAACACCTAAGTTACTCCTTATGTCATCAGCTATCTGCCAGTGAAAGTCCCGTCGAAATCGGTCCAGCCGTTCCAGAGATTACCCGGAACAAACAGACAGACAAAAATTGTAAAAAATGATATTTTTGCATATGTACCGTGTAAACATTCATATGCATTTAGTAAAAACGGTTATTTTAATATTACAAACAGACACTCCAATTTTATTTATTTGTATAGATAAAACCGTGACACGTCTTATACAGGACCGTCTTATCCCAAACTAGGCAGAACCTTTACTATGGTAACTAGACTGCTGTTAAACATACTTATATATATTCACATCACATCAACAATCTTTAATCTGTTCCTGAGAAAATCGGTGGTGACACACGGACAGACGGACAAGAAAGTGATCTTATAAGGGTACTTTTTTTTACCTTTTGAGATACGGAACCCTAAAAACATACATATCTCAGAGAAATTACACCCACACAGATTAAACGATCGTGTTCATAACACAATTATTTGTACTGCGTGGGAATTGAACTCTTGATCTCTAGCCTTGCACTCAGAATCACCAGTCCCTGACCTAAATGCGATTCAATATGGTGAAAGGAACATGCATTTTCTTGTATGAGACAGACACTGCATCCTTTTGTGAACTCCTGTCAAAGTATTCGGTCCGGTAGTTAAGACGTGACAGCGTAAATCAAATAAAATCACTTTCGCCATAATATATCGTATATTAATAACCGTAATATATGAATTTTGTTATGTTTTTTATTTTTGATGTTTAATAATGCCTTTTATTACATTTGTGAGATCGCGAAAACATCGAAACTGAATTTTGATCAATTTTTTTAACCAGAATTGGTGAATATGCAAATGTTTATTATATCTTATAAAAAATATTCAGTAAGTTATTTTTACCCTGTAATAGAAGCTCATTTGGGAGGAACTTGAAATCACATGGTCTGGGTCCTCCCCAGAGTAGGACGTCTAACCAGACGGCCGACCTTTTGGGTTTGTAATAATAATAATTTCCTGGCTCTCTCATCGCCGTTATGGCGTCCCGGGAGCTGGAGAACCGAAGGGATTTTCCACCCAGTCACCAAAAAAAAAACCGACTTTCCAAATAAACCCAGCTCAGATTGAATTTTCTTCTATTTCCAGTTTTTCGGCTACCTGGCTATGGTGGTATACGGCGTAGATGCTTTTATTAAGTACAAAGCTTTAAAAGCCGGTGAACTTGCGCAAGGGCAACGGGTGGTCACCAAACAGACTCACGTGCTGACTCCGCCAGCGTTACCATAGCACGAAGACAGGTGGTGAAAAGCTGAAGAACATTCTGGAAGAATCGTTAAAAAGTTAAGTGTGTAAATAGCTGTTAATTTTATTACAGACTGATGAAGATTGAAGAAGTAGCCCGTTTTAAATGATAGTAGTTGTTAAAAGATATAAGAGTACCATGAATGTCATGCAAATCCTTTCCTGCAAGTTCACGTCTTCTTTTAAAGTTACTGAAATATAATAGTGTGGTATTCCATTGTTAAAATAAATTATTTTACACTTTTTATGAAAAAAAAGTGCTGTGTATATGTATATTACTAGGCAGTCAACTAAAATATATAATAAAGGTATTGTATACCTTTGAATTACCTGATGTTTCGACAAGTCTAGGAGTATTTTGCCGGGGGTTCCCACACAGGGGGGGGGGTCGTCTACTCGTCTGTAGATGACCCGAGGTATGTCGTGGCACCAGGGACTTCCTTTCTAGGGTATACCTGGTTCCCCGGCTATTAGTACCCGAGACGGCGTGCGGTTTTAGTCGGTTCGAGTCCGACATGCCACCGATAGGTGGTATCCGAAGGGATTTCCGCACGGAAAGAAATAAAAAAAAGGAGTATTTTGCCGCAAAAAAAATCAGTTTGGCAAAGTCAATTGGTGGCAACGTGGTTTATATAATCTTGGTGTCCTTATTAACATTTCTAGCTAAGCTCAAAGTTTATGTTAGAAGTAGGCCATGTGGATAGCGCACTGGATGGGATTGGAATCCGCGACCACATAATCGTAAGTTGTTAGACTTAGCTGTTAAGCTACCACCGTTGGATTTGGATAAAATACTTTATATTGTTGTAAAGATCTGGTATAAATCAAATATGTGCGCTATGCATTGTTTAAATTATGGCTACTAAAGCAACTAATGAGATTAAATAAGATTTATATCCAAAACTTGTCGCAATGGTAAATCAATTTTATGTGTTAAGTGATAAGGTAAAATGTTGCTTACAAAAATATGGGCTACTTGATACGGTTTACAAAGATTAGTTTGATAAGTTTATTTAATTCCCACCTAGGTACCGATGTATGTTAGTGAGAAAACGCGAATGTAGTCTGGTTGGTGTACAGTGTTTAGCTACAGTGTCATGTCCATTACCGTTAGAAAATATAGTAATCTGTATTCAGTAAAGTGTAGCGTGACTGGTATCTGCTAACAAAAAGAACATAAAAAAAGAAGCCTTCAGTTTTAATATGGCCATTTTTTAAGCAAAGGTACACGTTAATTTTGAATTTAATGTAACATTATTAAACAACATGTGTTACCATTCGAAAATTACGTAGAAATGGATATATAAAGCTAAAACGGTCCAGTATGTACTTTGGAGGGTAGTACATATGTTGCACCTATTGGAAAGGCCTATGTCCAGCAGTGGACTGCTATAAGCTGATGATGAACTGCTATGTTATATAAGTCTATATAATGACAGTTATACTGGACGATGAAATAAAAAAACCATTCAAAACACTCGATCTTTAGCTGGTTTACATATATCAAATTTCTAATAATTTTATGCTAACATACGCTTAAATAAATATACATAACAAACGCATAGATAAGAAAAATCAGTATTTTGTTGCAGTTTTTATGTTCTCATCCATACTCCTATCTTAGTTCCACTGGCCTTGGTCACACTACGTTCGTTTCAACCCAGTTTTTGACACAGATTAATCATTTGAATGAAGTAACTGCGCTATAACGCATAAAACAGTCGCTCATTATAAACAAATATATACTGACATATTTTTTTTGATGACCTATTTTCATCAACAGCCATTACTAGTCCACTGCTGGACATAGGCCTCACCTTAGAAAGGAGGTTTTGGCCTACTACACCACGCTGGCCCGACGCGTTGGTATAGGGTTTGTGTCAAGTTTCCCTTCTCTCTGCAGTGCTGTTGTCCAGCATATTTTGTTCCCTTAGTCGCCTCTTACGACACCCACGGGATGAATAGGGGTGGTGACACTCTGTATTCTTAATCCGTCCCCACACGGACCTATATTAATATTTGTTTAAAATGAAATTTTGATAGTTTGAAGTAAAGGCATAGTGATTAGTATAAACACAGAACCACCTTATATCTTTAAACAAACTCGTGAGTTACCTCTGCCTATTCTCGTAAAAAAAACGGTCAAAATTCAATTCCGATCTCGATCTCACAACTGTCATAAACTGCTAGTTAAGGCAGACTTGCGATCAAGACTTCCTGGGTTCGAATCCTGACCAGTACACTACCGACGTGAACCCACTCCTAACACAAGCAATTTAGCTTTGCTGGAGGGGTTAACGAGAACACTAGTAATTTCGGTTGCTAGTAGACCTTATAAAAAAAAACATAGGATGTTAAATACTACTAAAATACCTTTGTCCGTGTAGTGACGGATTAAGAATACGGAATGTCACTACCCCAATTCATCCCGTGGGTGTCGTAAGAGCCGACTAAGGGCGCAAAACAACGCAGGACACCAGCACTGCAAAAAGAAGGAAAACTTGACACAAACCCTATACCAACCCGCCTGGCCAGCGTGGTATAGTAGGCCAAAACCTTCTTTCTAAGGAGAGGCCTATGCCCAGCAGTGGACTATTAAAGGCTGTTGATGTGTTGATGAAAATACCTTTAATGACATTTGTGACATTGACATGACATTTGTGCTTATCAATTATTTTTTTATAAACAATGTGTGCGTTACCCCAGCAAAATAATGTCGAAAATGGTCATTTAAACGTTATAGATAATTAGTTGCTCCCCTTCTGTAATTGTTAAGCACATTTTTAAATTTGTTTCACTTAAACTTTTTTAGTTATTTCAAAAAAACATTTCCTGCTGGGGTAACGTTTGAAACGTTACCGCAGCCAGACATTTTCTTTTTTAATTGTAATATTGAAATAAATTTTAGCTAAATAATTAGTTATCTGGACTAGGTAAATGTCACAACTTATTTGGTATTTGTATTTTCTTCGGCTGCGAAGTTATTCGAAATCCTGCTGGAGTAACGTTTGTGGGTTTGCTGGATCTCTGAAACGGGTAAGCGGATTGTTACCATCTTTTGTACATAACTTCTTAAGGATTAGTTTTAATTTGTTCGACAATAAAATAAAAAAAATAATGGACCGTTTAAAAATTATTTAGGTAAGTATGAAAACACTTAAATACGTCCTAACACTTTAAATAAGACCTCTTAAGACTTATTTGAAACGTTATTCTATTGCTTGTAACTACCTTCAAATGTATACGAATTTTCGTAGGAATACTGTAAGTGACTAAAAAGTTATGATGAAATGTAGCTCTCCACGTTCACGATCAAAATGTGTGCGGCCTTTTTTGGCCACCGATAAACCTGTGTGTGGATATATAAACTGAATGTTATGCCAATAATTAGTTGTTTAGTTCAGTTGTCTACCTGTAGAATTTCAGCGTCGTACATATAATAATTTACGAGATAATTAAATAAAAGTCATTAGAAGGTGCAAGACCGTGGTAATCCGACCATGTTTAGGTGGTTACAAAAAAGCGATCACCCAGTACATTGCGCTGTCTTTTAAAATGTTTAGTGTAATACACCTTACGATTTCGGTACAGTTGCGTACAGTGTTAAATACATTCAATATTTATTCATTATTATTACCTATTATTTATTTTGTTTTTTTCCCTAATTGATCTTAAGCACTAGTTTCTTTACTTAAAATTTATTTAGTCTTTTTTACTACCGGAGCTACAATCAACAGAAAATCTGCACTGGTCCGCTAAAATTATAAATATGTAGATACATGTATGAACGATTCACCTGACTGCAATAAAACGAAAATTTAAACCAACAAGAAATCGTTTCATTTCTTTGATTTTTTTTTTGTAAAGAAATAACACTAAAGTAATTGTATTTTATTTTGGGGTGTATAGAGCTTAGACTTGAATGCATCAAAATATTTAAAGCAACAAGTTATCTACAATAAGTTAAAATAGACCGAATAGTAGAAGAATAAATTAGAATAAATTAGAAGAAGTTGTAAATTAGAATGCATCAACATTGCATCGCCCAACAGACGTGTACCTCGTAAGAGTAGGTAATATTGTTCTGTGGTCTATACCTAGAACCGAGAATTCTCTATACCTATGTACCTAACGTTAAGCGTTGAGCCCGTTACTGTTGATTTCTGTTAAAAACGAACAGTTGTTGAATGATATTTTGATATAATAACGGTAATTTAATTTATCGAGTGAAAGTGATACATTTTTATAGATAAAATTATTGGTCAGATAATATTTGTCAATCAAGAATCGCTGATAATACATCCTTCGCTAGAACGCGGGAGGGGAGGGGCAAAGGGATACTTCATTGTTTGCAATTTGCATCTAGTGCACTAAACTTGACCCTTAGGCAGATAATATACGTGTTGTAAAGTACGTGTGCGCTTCCGCTTTCTATTTTTGCAAATATTTATCGTATTCTTGAGAGTTCTTCAATATGTGTGTACCTAATTACTAATAATAGGCATTAATGCTAATTCGATTCAATTTAAGTAATTGTCAATTCTTGTCTTAGGATATTAATTACAAATGCTAATATTGAAATTTCGTTCAGGGTGAACAAATTAAAAACGATCATAACTTTTAGGTAGGTATATCACTTATTACTAATTTTACATAAATAATTTATTTTATTATAATTTAACTCACCGCGATTTTGTGATCAAATATTTTATTTTCTCCAACATTATTACAGAAATAATGCAATACAGAGTTTGTTCGCGATATGCTAGCCTAAGTCGATTCATCACTTAAAAAAATCCCCATCTATTCACAAAATACCTATTTACAACGCATACGTTACACTCTTCAAAACTTATCATTTCATTTCATATTTCTTAAATTACCTATACCTACCCTAAAATTAAACTTCAATTAACAAATACTACGCAGGTACCAATTCTATGAACAACTATAAACAATTCACCTAAACATTACGAAAAAACAAA